AAGAGAAAGATTGAGAGAGGGTGAGGGGGGGATGCCTCGGCCCACTCAGGCCTTCCCCACTGGCTCCAGTTCAGCCTGCCCACCCCCCACCCCCCGCCTTGACACACCTCCTTGGTGAACTTCATGGTCTGCAGGGCCAGCTCTCGGGTGGGCGAGAGAATGAGGGCACGGGCCCCGGTCTGAGCACTGCGGGCCTTGAGCCGCTCAAACATGGGGATGAGGAAGCAGGCTGTCTTGCCACTGCCCGTCCGGGCCATGGCCACCACATCTTTGCCGTCTAGGATCACCGGGATGGTCTGCAGAGGAACCAGTGGGGGAGGGGGAGGGTCAGCTCCTGCACCCAAACACCACAGGATCCGGAGCTTCCAGTTCCTGGGGATTGGATGACCTAGGGGACCTCAGCGAATGGGAAGACCTGATCCCATTCTTACCAAAGCTTGTTTGCACACCTCAGGGGACCGGCAGCTCACCACCCCCAAATCTGTCTAGTCTTCGAACGTCCACCTTCAGCTTAAGCCAGACTCTACGTCCCTGACTACTCTTCCTACCCAGGACCCCAAACGAATGTCTCCCTCCCAGCTAAATGTCTGAGGACACCCATCACGAGCCCTGGGAGATAACGGAGGGCCTGCAAGCTGCCTGCCCAGGGGCTGGGCAGTGATAGGCCTTAACTGGCGAAGAGGCCCAGGGTCGAGTCTCCTCTCTGCCTGGCCCAACTTTCCCCATCTGTGAAAAGGGCAAGCCTGTGGGGTTTTAGGGTAAGAGGGACAACAGATGTGATGGCCGGTACAAGGGGTGTCTACCAAGAGGCGGAGAGAAGGGCCGAGTCGCTCCTCCTTTCCTCCCAACCCCACTAGCCCTCCCCGCTGTGTACCTTCCTCTGGATGGGAGTGGGCACCTTATAGCCCTTCTTCATGATGCCTTTGAAAACCGCATAGCTCAAGCCTGGGAAAGACATGGGAATGACCGGGGGTCTGGGGAGCCCCCACAGCACCACACTCTAGAATACCACACAGGGCAAACGGCTCTTACGTCATCAAATAAATAACAAGGAAGAAAAGAAAAGCAATAGAGCGAAACGAATAAACTGAAACTTAAGAGACAAGTCTATGGGTGATGGGACATAAGCCTTAGGTGGATTCCGATGTGGACACACTCTTAATGCCATGAGATGACCAGGGTCATCAGGGGTCTTGGATGACACCAGGAACTGTGAGTTTGTTCCAGGTGTGCAAGATCCTGCCTCTCTCTGAGTGAGCAGGAGGTATTTCAGGATACCAGGAGGGGAGTCTGGGACTCGCTTCCGAATCCTCCAGGATGCATGGGTGAGGAGTGGCTAAAGTAAGACCGAACACAGTTGATGCTGCCAATGGGCAGGTAGAGACTCACCGTACGCTATTTTTTATTCATATGTTTGAAATGCATTACTTAAAGAAAAGGGCGTCATGTGCAAGGGACCAGGACACATGCAAACAAGGGTGTGGACAAATGAGGTGCGTGGTCCTATGAGAGGGAGGAGGTGGCCTTTGTAGATAGCATGTGACTTGGGCTTGTGGAGAGGGCAGGACAGCGGGAGGCCCGAGGCAGGACAGTACCATGTGTTATTGTAGCTGCCTTTTGGTCGATTATCGTTGCGATTCAGAAAGGCAGAAAGAACTACACATAAATGTTTGTATTTGCTCTTTTTCTTTGATTTTTAATAGATTTTGAGTGCATTTTCAATGTAGTGGCTGGCTGTCTAGATTCCTTTTGTGAGCTCACTATTCACGTTGTTCACCCAAGTCTCTATCGGAGTGTCTTATTCTTATTGATTTGTGAAAGCTCTTTGCATATTAAGGATAGCCACCCTTTGTTCCATAGGTTGCAAATAAACTTCCACTTAGTTTACAGTGTTTTTTGCCATATACATGTCTAACTGAAAAAAGTCAAACAGTGCTCAGGTCACACTTAGAAAGGTCTTCTTATCCTTTCTAAAATTAAAAAAATGTTCATAATATTTAAACCTTTGCTCCAGATGCTACTGATCTGTAAACAGCAAGCAAGAGAGTCCAGCCTTATTGCCATCTGGCCGGGTATCCCAATCCCACCCAACTGCTGCATCTTCCCCCACCCTGTTCTGAAACGCCGTCCTCCTGCAGAACCTCCCCCAAAGCCTGTTCCCCACCAGCGTTGCCCTGCTTCCGGCTTCAGCTGCTCTCTCATCATGTCAGGCTGTCGCCTCCATGAGGAAGCCCCGACAGGCTTTGAGACGGTGTCTGCTGCCTCAGTCTACCCAGCACCCACCACAGTGCTGGGCCCAGGGCAGAGCTCAGAGGGCGCAATGACCCCCTGTTGCTACCCCTCCCATTCCCCAGGTGCCTGATTTACTCACCCATGGACTGGAAGCCTCCCGACTTCTTCTTCTTCTTGTTCTGGGCCCGCACCATCTCCCGCGTGTCCGGCTCCACATCCGAGGTGCACTCTGAGGTAGGGAAGGTGGGCAGGGGTCTGCTGGGTCCCAGCTGGGAGAGAGGAACAGAGAGGCAGCACCATCAGACCCCTGGAGGCCGGGGTGGAGTGGGGAGGAGCTGTCCAGGTGTCAGTCTGCGCCCCATTCGAGCTGCTGGTACTCCTGCCAGATCACAGCACTTCTCCGCTCCAGGGCTCCCCTCTGCCTGGGCCAGGACAGGGGACTGAAGCGGAGAGAGTGGGCTCTGCCACCAGGCTGCCTGCGCTGCAGTCCCAACTCTGTCACTTAGCAGCTGGGAGACCTCACACGAGAGACTTAATCTTCCTTGAGTCTGGGCTTCCACTTCGGGGAAACGGAGCACAAGAGCCTGTGCTTCAGAGGGTGTTGTGAACACCAAATGGATAAGTGTGAAGCTCAGAACAGCGCCCAGGGCGTGAATGGTAATGATGTCATTATCATCACCACCACCATCATCCTCCCGGCCTGTCGTTCAAAGCTCGTGAAATGAAAAGCTCTAGAGAGTGGTCACAACATCTATAGCGTGCGAGGTACTAGATTTCTCCAAGCCGCCCTGCCCCCCTCCTCAATCCCCTTTCTGATCCACCACCCCCACCCAACTCTGGTTTCTCTTGTGCCTGCCTCTCCTCTGCCCACCTACTTGTTCTGGCACAGCTAAGTCTAACCCAGACGCCTCCTCTGGGGAGCCTTCTCAGACCACAGAGCTGTCCCCGCCCTCTCGGAAATAGCATAAATGGACTGCTAAGTCATATAATGACAAGAATTACATGGCTCTTACTCTAACCCAGGTGCTGCTGAGTATTCATTAAGTTACTCCAACTCCATTTAATCCTTACGACAACCCTGGGAAGTGGGTACTAGTATCTTGTCCATCTTACAGAGAAGGAGACTGAGGCACAGAGAGGTGACATGACCTGCCCAAGATCACGCAGACAGCCAGTGGGGGGTTAGAATCTATGTTCTTTCCACGGTGACTCTCTAGGGTCCACTACACCATCTAGGTAGGTGGGAGCTGCAGCTTGTCTCGTACAGTGCATGCGATACACTAAAAGACGGCCGAAAAACCAGACGAAAAAGAGAGTGACCTTACAGGGCCCTGCAAAGCCTAAAATATTCCCCATCCGGTCCCTACAGGAAATGCCTGCTGACCCCTGCTCCAAACACATGACAACAAAGTGCCTGGAACACGCGAGTACCCAGCACTACACCGAGTGAGTAGAATATAGAAACATGTCGCTTAATTTTTTCCAGTCTGTAAGGCACTTATAATCATGAGACCTCCTCACAGACAACACCTCTGCCCTCTACGGCTCTGGCTCGGACAGGTTAAGCAGCTACTCCATTACTCCGGCAAGTACAAGGTGGAGCCAGATTTTAACACAAGGCTGAGTCGGGGCAAAGCCCTTGGTCTGATCCACATGCACAGGCTCCCCTTTGCCGCTTAGCACTCTGGTCCCCTGTTCATTATCTTCTGCAGTTTGTCCACGTTTACAGAGCACCTGCTGCGAGCCAGGCACTGTAGAGGCTGGGGAAACAGTGGGACGGAGTCCGGTCCCTGCCTTGGAGGAGTGTAGACCCCTCTCTTCTTACCCAGAGCTGCTCTGCGCCAGGCACGTTGGACACAGGCCTCCCTCCCCATTCCAATACACTTGGCTCTCAGTAGTGGACATAGCACAGGTCCTGACACAAGAGAGTCCCGGGTTTGAATCATGGCTCTCTTGCTCACAAGCTGTGAGGTCTCGGGCAAGTTCCTTTGTCAATCTAGGCCTCAGTTTTCCTCCTCTGGAAAATGGGGTGACAATACTTAGCTCACAGGATTGGTGTCAGGATTAAATAAGGCTCCTAAAACTCTCTGCACGGAGCCTGGAACATAGTAGATGGTCAACAAATCCAAGTTTAATTTATAACTTAGTTTCCCAGAAGTTTGGAGGCATCGCCGCCCCAAGCTACGAAGTCCAGACTTCCCTTAATTCAAACTCTCAATAATCCCCTAAACTCTCAAAAGTCCGATCTTCAGCACCCGCACTTTTCATTGGGCGAAAGAGAACTAGACCCGCCCCCTGAGTACGAGGTAGCCAATGAGGAGCGCTCAATCAAAAGCCGGCCAGGAAGACCTGCAGGCCCCAGGCTCTGGAGCTCAGTGGCTTGGGCCGTCACGACCCTGGGCAAGATGGTCTCTGAGATACACGCTCAGACCGGCAATCGTGCCCCCGACCCCTGCCAGCTGACCTCTCCCCACCCTCGGTAGTGCCCAGCTGAGGAAACTGAGGCCGCGGGGGGGGCCGCAGGGAGCCGGGGCTCGGGCGCCAATCTGTGTGCGAGCGTCACGCTCCTACCTTCTGAGCCCGAGTGTCATCTTCCGCCTGGATCTCAAACTCGCCGTCCTCCGAGTCGCTACTGAGGGCCTGGGAGGCCGCGCCCCGGCGCCTCTTAAGTCCCTTCTTTTTCTTCCGCTGGGCCATGGCCGATCCCGACCGTGGTCTGGCCGCCGGGTACGTTCCGACTGCCATGCGGACCCGGCAATGGAAAACGTGAAGGGGCGGAGTCTATGAGGATGTACCACTGCGCGGCCTGGGGCGGGGGGGAAACGCATCGACGCGGCCCCGACTGTCTCCCTACCCCTCAGCAGCCCTAGGGGGAATGGAGTGAATACACATACTCCTCTGGGAGAGGACCCTCTCCGAGGCTTTGGGGAACTCTGGAGGTGTCGGGAACTGGCGCGCTCCCCCTGGCCCGAATCGTTCCAGCCCCGCCGCGCCGCCCCGCCCCGCCGCTGGCTGGTTGCTGTTTGATGGGCGCGCGGAGCACACGTCGCTAGGGCCTGGGTGTCCGGGGTGAGACTGTCCGCGCGGTGCTCCGTACTGGGACCCAGGACCGATGGCCTGAAGGTCCTGGCCTCCGGGATTCCGTGCCCCGGATGAACTGAGATCACGGATGCGCCGCGGGTGCCCGAGCACCCTCCCAGAAGAGTCCAGACTCGGTGGGGGGAGCATTGAGGGTCACTGCCAGCTGACCGACGTCTAGGAGCCAAGATGCTCAGGTAGGAAATAACTCAAGAATGTAGGGTCCTTGGACATCAGCTCGGAAATTGACTTAGGAATCGGGACATGTGGGGCAGTTGGGGGGGGGCGTGATCCCCTATTGTAGAATGGTAAAGTGTACAAGCTCTGGACTCCTATCAGGTTCAAATTCCTCTTCCTTTGTTCTAGATTTGTTGCTGTAACTTACACACGTGACGTCACTTTTTGAAGCCTCAGTGTTGTCCTCTGTAGAATGGACGTAAAGCTACTTCACAGGTCCGATGGGAGGATTAAATGAGACAATGTTTCTAAAGCTCTTCGAAGGAGGTAGGCATGAGATTGAAACTGATTAATTCCTGCCCCATCAATATGGGGCAGAATATAGGGACGTTCTCTGTCTTTCCCAGACCAGTTTTTTTGTGGTTGGTGCCAAAAGGGGCACAAGCCCTGTCTCTGCTTCAGTCCCTAGCATTCTATCAATATTTATATAGCATACATGGTGTGCTAAGAATGTATGTTTATTTTATTTTTTAAACATTTTTTATTGATTATGCTGTTACAGTTATTCTATTCCCCCCCTTCATTCCCCTCCACCCTACCCCCCTGTCCCCACCATTACCCTCCCTTTAGTTTATGTCCATGTGTCTCAAGTTCTTTAGATTCTATATTTCCCATGCTATTCTTGCCTCCCCCATCTATTTTCTATCTACTGTCTATGCTACTTATTTTCTGTACCTTCTCCCCCCTTCTCCTCCTCCCACTCCCCTGTTGCTAACCCTCCTTGAGATCTTCATTTCTATGTTTCCACTCCTGATCTAGCTGTCCTTTTAGTTTGCTTTTGTTTTAGGTGTGGTTGTTAATAACTGTGAGTTTGCTGTCCTTTCACTGTTCATGTTTCTTTAACTTCTTTTTCTTCGATAAGTCCCTGTAACATTTCATATACTAAGGGCTTGGTGATGATGAACTCCTTGAATTTGATCTTATCTGAGAAGCACTTTACCTGTCCTTCCATTCTAAATGAAAGTTTTGCTGGATAGAGCAATCTTGGTTGTAGGTCTTTGGATTTCATGACTTGGAATACCTCTTTCCAGCCCCTTCTTGCCTGTAAGGTCTCTTTTGAGAAATCTGCTAACAGTCTGATGGGGACTCCTTTGTAGGTGACTGTCCCCTTAGCTCTTGCTGCTTCTAGGATTCTCTCCTTCATTTAAATCTTGGCTAATGTAATGATGATGTGCCTTGGTGTGTTCCTTCTTGGGTCCAACTTCTTTGGTACTCTCTGAGCTTCCTGTATTTCCTGGAAGTCTATTTCCTTTGCCAGATTGGGGAAATTCTCCTTTATTATTTGTTCAAATAAGTTTTCCATTGGTGGCTGTGCCTTTCCCCCTTCTGGTACCCCTATCATTCGGATGTTGGAGCATTTAAAGATGTCCTGGAGGTTCCTAAGACTCTCCTCATTTCTTTGAATTCTTGCTTCTTGACTCTTTTCTGTTTGGCCATTATTTGCTTTCTTCAGGTCCACTCCATTGATTTGAGTCCCAGTTTCCTTTTCATCGCTGTTGGTTTCCTGTGCAATTCCATTCATTTCAATTAGTTTCTCCTTCATATATTTGTCTAATTTGTGGGTATAATCAACCAGTTCTGTGAGGATCCTGATCACCAGTGTTTTAAACTGTGCGTCTGAGAGTTTTGCTATTTCTTCATCGTTTAGATTTATAGGCTCTGGGGCTTTGAGATCTTCTTGAGCCATTTTTGGTGTGTTCGTGCCCTTTAAGTGTGAGGAGCCGAGCCTTGGACTCCCAGGTGGCTGGGTTGTGATGCTGTATGTGGGGGCGTGGTCAGAGCGGGGAAATGGCGGCCCCCTCAGCTGTTTCTCGCAGCTGGGTGAGGAGCAGAGCCTTAGGTGGTTCACCTGGGCCGGGCCACTCAGAGTCTCTGGGTTATGACGCTGTACGTGGAGGTGGGGTCAGAGCAGGGAAATGGCGGCCCCCTCCGCCGCCGCTTGCCGGGACCGCTGGGTCCCGGTCCAATCGCCCACCCCCTCACTTATCTATCCACACACAAATGCGCGACCACAGTCAACCCACAGCCCTGCTCCCGCGCTGTATCCCCGAGGTGGCTCGCTTGGTCGCTGGCTCGGTCGCTCACTAGGTCCCACCCTGTGCCTGGATTCCGCGCGCCTGAGTCTGTCTGACCGAGTTTTCCTGTGCAACCCCGCTCCACCAGCTGCTGGTTTCGCCCCTTACAGGTCAGGCTGAAGAATTTGTTGTTATCAGACTTCCGAAAAGTTCAATTTTCCGTGTTCTGGCTGTGTTTTCTGTTGCTGATATTTAGTTGTCTCTAGACTTGGTTGTGTGAGAAGGCACGGCACATCCACCTATGCCTCCATCTTGGCGGAAGTCAGAATGTGTGTTTATTAAACATTTGCCTGTAACACCCCTCTCCCCATCACTGTTACAACTGAAAAAAAATTGTCCAACAAATTTCTGAAACATCCCCAGAGGTTGGCAGTTCCCCTTTGAGGAGAACTGCTTGAGGGAGACCCCGACCCTTTTGCCCTTGGGATGGAGAGAGAAGAGACCACCAATCTCTCTGTGGTGGCACTGCCGATGACAGAGGAATGGCACCCTGACCCCTTCTTCACAGGTAGCCCTGGAGGCAGGGCCTGGTGGGCAGAGTATGCCTGCTGTCACCTGGGACCATGGGCGGCATGAAGACCCCCTGGAGCTGGCCATCAGTGGGATGCAGACCCTTCACCGCCAGCGCCGCTGCCGGGGTGGCTGTCAGGTCAAGGCCAGGGCCTCATACGTGGATGAGACTTTGTTTGGCAGCCCTTCAGGCACCCGGCCCACACCGCCAGACTTTGACCCACCCTGGGTGGAGAAGGCCAACAGAACCAAAGGAATGGGCAAAGAAGCTTTGCGGACTTCGGGGAGCTGTGAGACCACCTCCTCCAGGGGCAGCACCCCGACCCTCACCCCGAGGAAGAAGAACAAGTACAGGTAACAGCATGGGCAGATGCCCTGCTGCACCCAGGGTAGCCACCTAGGTTCCTTCTAGAGCCCTGCCGGTCTCATGCTGTGTGACCTTGGGCAATCACCTTGACCTACCTGAGCAGCAGTTTCCTGGATTTAGTGGGATTATTGAGAGGATTAAATGAGGTGAGGTGTGTACTGTGCTTGGCACCGTAACCTGACACTTAGAAAGCTCTGGATAAATGGTAGTGATGATGGTTGTGGTGGTGGAGTACCTATCCCGTGATGTCACAGACTGGCTTCTGAGGCCCAGAGAGGTCAGGATTGGCCCAAGATTACAGAGCAATTTGCGTAAGATTATTAGTGTGGTGGATTCATGAAATGACATGTGTTGGTTGCAGACTTCAGCAAGTCATTTTGAAAATGGTTCTTGCTGCATTTTCATGAATGAGTTAAAAAAACAGAAGCTCATGCTAATGGTTATAAAGTAAATAGATTAGATTTAGATTATTTGGATCATTCCAGATTAATATCAGCCTGGAAGGAGGTACCTAGCTAGTGGTGGGCCACAGGGCTCCTCATTTCTTTATCAGTGTTTTGGACAAAGACACAGGAGACTGGTGTAGTAATTGGCTATGGCCGCTGTAACAAAAATCCCGGAGACTGCCCTGGCTGGTGTAGCTCAGTGGATTGAGAACGGGCCTGTGAACCAGAGGATCACGGTTCGATTCCCAGTCAGGGCACGTGCCTGGGTTGCAGGCCAGTTCCCAGCAGGGGACACACGAGAGGCAACCATACATTGATATTTCTCGCTCTCTCTCCTTCCCTTCCCCTCTAAAGATAAATAAATAATTAAAAATTAAGAAAAAGTTAAAAAAAAAAGAAGTCCCAGGGACTGAGGGGCTTCACAACAGAAATTTACTTTCTCACAGTTCTGGAAACTTGAAGTCCAAGGTCAAGGTGCCAGCAGGGTTGGTTCCTTCCAAAGCCTCTCGTTGGCTTGCGGGTAGCCACCTTTACACTGTGTCCTCTCGTGGCCTTTTCTCCTGGTGTCTCTTCTGAAAGAGGGGCCCACCCCCATGACCTCACTGAACCTTAATTACCTCCTTAAAATTCGACCTGCCTTTTGGGAGGACATGATTCAGTCCCTAACAACCAGCCAGGATATTTACGATCCATGCTGAGCCAGCAGGGACCTACTTGAGTCCAGAAAAGGGAATGATCCCTATTTAAGGAGATCAAGTTCAACGAGATAAAAGCAAGACTGGTTACTATGATGTCAGGCTGAGGGTGGTGTTCCTGACAGAGGGTCTGTGGGCCACAGCCTGACAAGGGGCAGCCTGACATTAGCAGCAGTGACGCCTCGTGTGGCAGAAAACGCTCACATAAATGGGAGGCTGCATTAACAGAAGTATGGTGCCCATGACAAGGGAGGTTACAGTGAACGCCGTGCCCTCCTGGAGGATGGGGCTTTGTGCAGACAAGTAGGGGGTGCCTCGTGAGACGGTCGGTGCACAAGAGGCAGAGGAGTTATTGAGGGAAGGCTGTGGCACCAGGCAGATGTGCCGCAATGAGATACAGTTTGAGAAGTTAAGTGGCAGAAGGTTGGCTTTCCAGAGACTTGAAGTTTGCAAATTTGAGCACTTCCAGTCCTGACCAGAAACCATAGCCCTCACGGGTTTGCCTTGAATACTTGTGGGAATGACCAAATAGTAATAATAATTGCTGAGGAGAGGCCTCGAGGGCACGTATGTACGTCTGATTCCCTGATCGAGAGCTGGAGTCCTGGAGCCAGGCTGGATCTGAATCTTGTCCCTTCCATCCTGCTTGCTGTGGGCTTTTCCCTCCTTATACCTTGGTTTTCTTGTCTGTGAAATGACATCGTGAATATCACCTTCCCGCGGATGCTGTTAGAAATCACGACATGATGTATGTGACATGCTGAATCCAGGGCGTGCGTAGGAAAAGCCATCAGTAAATACTCCAAAATTCCAAGTCGGAAGGGCCATGGAACCGCAAAGGGTTCAGCTGACAAGGCCACTAAGGACAAAGGAAAAGGGATCGCTGGGGCTCTGTCTTTATCTTCAAGCAGCTCCCCACGCCCCCCCCCACTCCAGGGGAGATGGCCACCAGCTGCTTTGTCCTTACGCCTACCAGCTTTTCAAGACCGGGAAACAGAAAAACATCTCTTGTCCAGCAGTTTAGCAGAGGTCCTAAGGCAGACTTCCATTGGACAGAATGGGTCATGTGGCCAGGAGGGTGAAATATGCAAATGACCAGGCCTGGGGCACATGCCAGGGATTGAGGGGACTGGATGCTTGGCAGGGGCAAAATAACAGATGGAGGGTAGTGGTACATGAGGGGGCTGTGCCTCACTGTGGGTGCCAGGCTGGGGAGCAGGGACTTCTGGGATCTACAGGTAGCCCTTTCAGGTGCCTGGCATGGGTGAGGTGCGTAGGTGGGGGTTAAGGCTGTAGGGCTTGTTCACTCTGTGGGTTCACTGTGTTTTTCTTCCCTTTGCCAGACTGATCAGCCACACTCCGTCCTACTGTGATGAGTCACTATTTGGCTCCCGACCCGAGGGTGCCGGCTCGGAGGCCCCCTGGATCACAAAGGGGGGTGCCGCAAAACTCCATTCCCTCTTCTGGACACCCCCGGCAACCCCTAGGGGCCACTCACCCCACCCCAGGGAGACCCCTCTGCGTGCCATTCACCCAGCTGGTCCCTCAAAGACAGAGCCCAGGGCGGGGGCAGACTCACGGCAGTTCTCCAGGGGTGTGTTAGATTCTCCACGCCCAGTGAGGCGCGAGCCTTCCCACTCCCTCACCCACCCGACTGTCCCCACCACTGGCCGCCCACCCAGCAGTGGCCCCCACACAAATGGGCCTCGGGATCCCAGGCCTTCCCCACTGGGGGTGACCTTCCGGAGTCCCCTGGTGACTCCCAGGGCCCACTCAGGCAGTCTTTCAGTGTCAGCCACCCCCCGACGAGGTGGGGCCACCCAGAAACCAAAGCCCCCCTGGAAATGATCCTTCCATCAGGTTGGCCCTGGTCGGGTCACGGCAAGGACCGCAGTTTCAGAGGACGGCACAGGTAGGGGGCTTCTGGGGAGACCTGCGGGCTTTGGAGAAGCTCTCGAGGGGGCAGACTCAGCGGGGGTGGCCTGGGCCGTGCCCTGTCCTGACAAGCTCTAGCGGCTGCGAGGGCCCCGATTGCGATGCCTGTTTCAAGTCTGTTGTAGCCATAAGCTGTATCCGTGCCAACCCAGGGATGCCCCCAGGGACGGCCCGCCCCCTCCACCTGGCCCCCACACTATGTCTTGCTGCCAAGTATGAGTAGAAGGTGTGGTCGCCAACCTGGAGCGTTTCCTTCCCCCTCTTCAAGCCAAACCCCCTGCTCAGAATGAGTTTCCTGCAGGGTCTGGGGGCCTCCAGAGTTTTCCCAGGCACAGCCTGTGGGCCACAGCAGGACCGAGGATCTGGGCGGGACGAGGGCCGACTTTTTATTTCAATAATCGTGTATTTATTTTCATGTATTAAATGTGTCAGTAGCTCATTAAAACCACGACTTTTACTCATTTCTTTTTCCAAGTGGAAAGGCCAGTGGTAGGCCTGAGTTGATTTTATTTTTTTATTATTTATCTATTTTGGTAAATATGAAACTTATTCATGCTGGCATTCCGAAAGAGCCCTTTGTGTTTATTTTTGGTTTGTTTTTTTAATTATGTTTTATTGATTATGCTATTACAGTTGTCCCAATTTTTTCTGCTGCACCTCCCCTCCACCCAGCACCCCCCCACTCCCTCAGACCATCCCCCCACCACTGTTCATGCCCATGGGTCATACATATAGATTCTTTAGCTACTCCATTTCCTATACTGTACTTTACATCCCTGTGGCTGTTCTGCAACAACCTGTTTATACTTCTTAATCCCCTCACCTCTTCACCCGTTCTCCCTCTCCCCCCGCCCATCTGGCAACCATCAAAATGCTCTCCGCATCCATGATTCTGTCTCTGTTCTCGTTTGCTCAGTTTGTTTCTTAAATTCAGTTGTTGACAGATATGACAACAATATTGCCATTATTCAAATTGCCATTTTATTTTTCAAAGTTTTGATCTTTTTCTTCAATAATTAACATTTCATAGAATAATGGCGTGGTGATGACGAACTCCTTTAGTTTTTCTCTTTTCTGGGTAGGTCTTTCTCCCTCTTGATTCTAGATCATGTCTTTGCTGGGTAGAGCAATCTTGGCTGTAGGTCCCTACTTGTCAGGAGGTTAAAGATAAAGGAGCCCCTTGGCTGGGACTCCTCACTCCTGAGCTATCCCTCCCAAATTTTTACCCACCACATGTGGATGTGGAAGCAGCCCGTTCTGTGTCTGCGCCCCTCCTGCCAGTCTGGGTGGATGTGGTTTCTTTAATTCCCTACTTGTCAGTCTTCATTCAACTCGATTTCTGACAGTTCGGAGTGATGGCTATTTTCTATTTTGGTTGTAATTTTGATGTGGTTGTTCGAGGAAGCAAGCCAAGTCATCCTGTACCGCCATCTTGACTGGAAGTCTCCCCCTGAGTTGATTGAAATAACATTAAAATTCTAGAACGTAGGCCAGGCCTCAAGCAGCCCTGGGCTCCTGTCCACATTGGTTTCCACTAATACCACTCACTAAAGAGTGGGTCTGCTGGTTCTTCCTGAGCTCAGAATGGGACCTTGAGCTTCATACATTTCCCACCTTTTCAAAAACAGAACGGTGACTAGGACCTCACCAAGTGGAGGGGCCCAAGACCAGAAAGTTGCACACGCATCTGGAGAGTGTGCAGAATGGAGGCGGGGGTGGGGGTGGGGTCGGGGTTTGCCTTTCCTGCTTCCTGTTTGTCCGCTGCAGCACCCGGGCCGGGCTGCTTCCAAACAACAGCAAACCCTTTGCTCAAATGGAGTTGCACGCAGAATCCCAGCATCCTGGGTGTTGGGCTGCACCTCATGCCCATTTTTTTCTGGTGCACCTCCAGGGAGCACAGGGATTCCCACCAGAAGCCCATCGCTAGAAGGGAAGGGAAGTGCAGACACATTGGGGTTGGGTAGCAGTCTGGCAGGGACTGAGGGACAGACATCCTTGCGGGGCGGGAGGGTGGCGAGTCGGCTGCTCTCTTGGCACAAACACTGCATTTTAAACATGTAGGATGTTTAAACTTTCTAGAACTTTTCATAAAGAATTAGTCCCCTCCTTCTCCGCTTTCATTTGCCTTTACCCCCTCCCATTTTAATAGACATGAGCCAGAAATACCTCTTTCGTCCTCACTAGACTGAAAGGCGACAGCCGGGGTGTGATGGTACAGGGCCCGGGGACTCAAGGCCGTGGCATCTGGGAAGACTGTTGGGAGTGGCGAGGACTTGGGCAGCCTATAGCCTCTGCCATCTAACGGGTGCTACAGCTCAGCTCTTGGAGACATGTAGGCCTGGTGTGTCTGAACAAGGTGTTTCCAGAGACAGCAGGAAGCTGGATTTCTATGGGTGGCCCCTGATTTTTGTCAGTGCCAACAATGAATTTTAAAAAGCTACATTATTCGACTACCTGGGCATCAAATAAAGCTGATGCAAGACTGCTGATTTCCGATCCTGGGACCCCTGAGCTTCCACAGCTCTGGATGGGGGAGAAGTTGTGGGCAAAGGGACAATTTTAGGGCAGGGGCTGAGGACAGCCTGAAGCCCTGTTCCTCCTGGCGTTCTCTGCCTGCCCTGCGCCTCCTGTGAGCAGTCCTGGTGAGTGACGTGTCCATTGTGGCTGTGGCAGCTTCTGGTCTGGGACCAAGGGGGCTGCAGCCTGGGGTCTGGCCCCCCATGGAGGCTGGAGGAAGGAATGGTTAGGGCTGCCCACCCGGCCTGCATGCTCCCCTGACAGAGATGGCGTTTGCAGACGCGGACGTGCACACAGCCGACAGCTCTGGGTAAAAGGAGGTTTATTTATAGGGTGTGGTTTAAAGTGGTTTTTAATTTTGAAAAAGTGTTCAAACCACCATTACAGGGCCTCCCTGTCCCAGAGGCTTTCTGGCCTGCTGTCTGGGAGGTGGGCACAGTGAGGACTCAGGACAGGGCAGGAGGAGGAGGAGGGCTCATTTCTTGTCCTTGGCCGCCTTCTTGCCCTTGGCCTTCCCGCCCTTGGCCTCCTTCGCTTTGCCTTTGCCGCGCTTCTTCTTCTTGGACTTGAGCATGGAGCGGACCAGGTAGCCCTTCCACACGGCCTGGATGAGCGTGGCAGCCCGCACCATGCGCCGCAGCTCCTGCTCATCCTCCATCCTCTTCTTGGAGTGGATCTCCCGCTCCTCCCGGATCTGGGCGAACTCCTCCACCAGCACGTCATGCCTCTGCTTCAGCTCGTCCAGCTGGGCCTTCTCCTCCTTGTGGATGATGTCCAGCTCCTCGTACTCTTCCTGGGGGGTCGGGGGAGGGTCACCAGGCATCCGGCCTGTCCACCGCCTCCTCTGCATGCACTCCCACCCTTCCCAAGGGGGCTTCCACCCCCACAGTGCCACCTGCACTGAGCCTCTCTGCCCTCCAGGCCCGATGAGTGTGGGAGAGGTGATGAGATCCACCCCAGCTCAGGGTGGGAGCCAAGTGAAATAATTCTGGGAATGGAGGGGAAAAAAACACAGCCTGTGGGTAGGCCAGAGGGAGCGCAAACCCCAGCTCGGCCACACCCAGACAGCCTCCCCCTTTCGGGCTTTCATTGTTTTTCCTCTGGAACCTGGCAACCGTTGGGAACCAGGAGGGTGGGGGTGGGAGCTGTTTCCAGGATTAAAGGACAGGATGGTCACAGTAACTGGGTGCCATGCCAGGCACAAGTGAGGACATAAAAATGGCTGCCACCAAAGCCGTCCGATTCACAAAGATGCGGCGAGTCGAACTTTCCCCGGTGACCGAGGCCTGCAGTTCTTCCTCACGTCTCACTGCAGCCTCCCTGCCACTAACGTTTGCCGAGCACCCACCAGAAGCGAAGCCCATTCAGAGGACAGAGTTGACCCGCCCCCAACATGCCCTTCCCTGAGCGGCACGTCTGACTCGGGCCCACGCAGAGGCTGGCGTCCCCTCTGGTGCTCACCAGGCTTCCTTTCGCAGAGTTTGGGGGAGGGTTTGAGGACACCCCTTATTTTAGGCTACCATTCCCTGAGCGCTTCTTCTGGGCCAGATCCATGCGGAGCACAAGCACTTGGTGCCTCATGGATCCCCGCCATGGCCCCAGCGTGGGTACGGCTGCCTCTACAGATCCCATTCCTTGGGATCTTGGGATCAGGTGCAGAAAGGGGCTCAGGAAGGTCAAGCCTCTTACTGGTGGTCACACAGCTGGTAAGTGACACTAGAGTAGACCCTCCAATTGACAATGGCGCTTTCTTCTCTGCTGTGTCCCAGCACCTGGCACACCTCAGGCACTTGGAAGAACCTTCCTGAGCTAAGAGGGAGAGGCAAGCTGGTGTTTGAGTCCAGCGGGGCTGAGCCCTGGCCTGGGTGCCTGCAAGAGCTGAGCAAGGGAGGCACAGAGGGTATGGGCTGTGGACACCAGATGGAGCCAGGATCCTCGGGCCCACTGTCAAGCACTTCTCAGCGGCTCGGCTTCCGGATCCTTCCTTTCCCACCTCTCCCCTTGCTGCCCAGGCTAGACAAACCCTTGAGCCTAAAGAAGGGGCAGGGAAGGGCCTGCTGCAGGCCCGTATTCCAAGGCCTCTCTGGGGAGGCCCAGAGCTTGGCTGAGCCCATGGACCACGGGCCTGGGGCCTCTCCTCCCATCCCCCCATTCCTAGAGGATCTTGGGAAACACACTGGAGAGAGACATGCGAGGCAACAATACCTGCTTTTCACCCATCTCCGAATCGTATTTCTGGATCCAGTTCTCAATTTCTGTCTCCACTTTATACTTCTTCTAAAATTAAGAAAAACTCCTCTTAGTCATGGTTTGTTGGACTAGTATTAACAATAAACGATACCGGGCACTCCCTGCACAGCCGGCCCTGTGGTGGGCACTTTGTGTGCCTCGCCCGTGAGTCCGCACGAGGCAGGCTCCCCTCCCTTACACACACACACACACACACACACACACACACACGGGGACGCTGCGGATCAGCGTGCTGACGCACAGTCGCGAGGTTACAGAGCCATTGAGTGGCAGAGCTGGATTTGAAGCCAGCAGTCCAGCTCCAGCGCATTCTAAGCAGAGGGAGCAGCAGATGCAAAGGGCCCGTGGTGGGAACAAGCTTTGCAGTGTTTAAAGAAGAGAATTGGAGGCGGTGTGGCCAGAAGGAAGGGGCTGAGCAGGAGTGAGGCCTCGGCGAGGCCCTGGGGAAGCTGTGATGCAGAGGGAGGGGAGGCCTTTGGGTGCATTTAGGTGCAGTGGAGGGACGCGACCTAATTTTGCTTTTAGAAGATCAGCTCCTGTCCATACAATGTTATTCAGCCTTTAAAGGTGCCCATACACATTACAACGTGGGTGAGCCTTGGAAATGTGATGCTGAGCGAGAGAAGCCAGCCACTAAGGCCACGTAGGGTGTGATTCCTTTTGTATGAGGTGTCCAGAATGGGCTAATCCATAGAGACAGAAAGCAGATTAGTGGTTGTCAGGGGCTGGAGGGTGGGGGAGTGGGGGAAACCGTTTAGTGGGTGAGGGCTTTTATTTTGAGGCGATAAAGTGTTTGGTTTGGGAGCAGGACAAAGGCGGTGGCCGTACCACAGGGAATGTACCAAGTGCTCCTGAACTGTTCACTTTAACATGGTTCCTTCTGTGCTATGTGAATTTCACCTGAATTTAAAAATAGTCATAAACCAGCTTCCTAATCCTACAGAGCAAGTGTTCTTAGCTTGGGCACCATGGATGGGCTGGCATCCGGGGAGGGCCTGGGACCCCCCAGGATTGGTCACTGGTGTTCATATGCGCCGTGATTTTTTTATGGGGGAGGGACCCCTGGCTTCCCTGAGATGCTGGAAAGAGTCATGACGGTGAACGGGACTGGGAACCAGTGTTCGAAAGGGGCCCTTCGTGCGGAAGGGGACTGAGAAACAGGCGGCGCCCGGGGGCCTGGCTCTCGGCGGGATGGCGCCTGGACAAATGGTGCTTATCAAGCACCTACTCATGCCAGCCCGCTGCCCGCCGTCTCCTGCGGTTCCTATGGTAACCCATTAAGACCCGTTGGGTCCCTTTCATCTTAAAGATGTGAAAATAGAGGTTCACGTGTTCCTTTGGTTCCTTCCCACGGCCCCGGACAAGGTGGGTTTCATCACCCCTGCGAGGCCGGGTGCAGTTAGGGGACTTGCCCAATATTGCAGAGCAGGCGGGCAGCAGCGCAGGGCCCCCATCTCTCTGCCCCTGGGCCTGGATGCGGCTCCCTCCTGCCTCCCAAGGGACACTGGCTCCACCCTGGGCTCCCTGGGGGGCTGGGGCAGCCCTGCCCTACACGTAGGACCTCTTTCCTCCCTGTCCCCTCCCCAGTGGCTCTACTGTCCCCTCCTCCTTGCTTCCCAGGGCACCTTCCGCAGCGCCTGCTCTGCCTCCCGGTTCTCCATGACCAGGTTGTGGAACTGGGTCCTCAGCTGCAGGATCTCCTGCTGGATCTTGGCCACCCTGGCCTGGGAGGCCCGGAAGTCTGCCTTCTGCTGCTTTTCGGCCTCCCGCTTGCTGCGATGGAGGCTGCTCTCCGAGAACTTGAGCACCTGGTGCAGCTGGCTTTTCAGTTCTTGGATCATGGAGTTCTCCTTTTCCACCTGGGTCAGGAAGAGAGGCTCCGTTAGCGCCCACCTGACCATGGGTCACCACAGGGAGAAGATGGCCGTCACTGCGTCATCACCTTGCCGGTCCCACCACAGCCCCGTCGGGCACAGGGAACGCCTGAGTCCAGGTGAGGAAGCTGGAGCTGAAGCGGGTTGAGTCGTCTGTCCAGGGAGGCGCAGCAGAGCTGGCATTTGAAGCCAGGTCTGTCTGTGATCCAGAGTCTGGGATCTTGGTCCCCACCCTGTATTTCCCAGCATGAGTGAGGGGCACAGGTATGCAGGGTGAGGCCACAGGAGAGGCTGGGGACAGCAGCGACCCTCCTGCTTCAGGTGCCCAGCTGGCAGAGACACAGTGTGACGCAGGAAGGTGCAGGACCGCCACCACTCTTCCTCAAGGGTCTGGCTTGTCCCCTGCACTCAGCTGGTTTAAAAATAGGAATGAAGGCGGAGGACAGGGCTCTTTTGCACATATACTCAAGAAGCTGATCATCTGAAGTTTCGCTGTGAATCCCCTGGGGCTCTGGCTGGCAGTGGGGCTTCAGGGGGGTCTGGGCTCACTTTCCACACACAGGCAGCAGGGAGGGAAGGGGCACTTGATGGGCAAGCTTATCCTGGGGCAAGGCTTCCTGCCCCGGGGCGCCTCCTAGAGCCTGAAATGTCGTGGGCGCTCCTGGTGGCTCCATGACATGCCCACCTGGGGTTGGCCCCTCATTTTACACCCAGGCCCAGGGCATGACGCAATTTGCATGCTGAGCAAACATGGAATTTGACCCCAGATCTATCCAACTTAGAAGCCCCAAGCTGGCTTCAGCACCCGAATGGGACCAGCAGAGCCACTTGGGGCCCTCTCCCTGTCCCCAGGTGACACCCCTGCAACCTATGAGTGGCCTTCCCTGACTGAACAGCCAGGAGCCTGCCACCTCTCCGTTTACCAAATAGTGACTGTGCCCCTCCTTCTGTGCCTGGCTCGCTGGGGACACAGTGGAGGGCCAAAAGGGTCAAGGTCCCTGTCCTCTTGTGGGGGACCCAGACCCGAATCAAATGATCAAATAACCATACCAATGTGTGCCAACAAACTGAGGCATTGCCCTGTAGGATGAAACCAGTGGTAGCACGAGGAGGGGCAATACCTAGTGCGTGGGGGCAAGGGAGGGGGTGGCACACTGCTGCACAGGGCCTCCATCACTCATTTCTCACGGGGATGGACATATAAGTGCCCGTGGCAGCACTGGCTGGCTGTCCCCCAGGATCTGCTCTCCCCAGAAAGGCTGTGCAGCAGAACGTTCTGCTGAAAACCTGGCCCCAGCTGTAGACGTACCGTCGCAGCATCTCTTGCCTCTGGGTGTGGCTAAGAACTGTACTGTATGCTATTTCCAGGTTTCTTCCCTAGAGGGCAGCACCCTCCTGCTCTTCCCTCCTTCCTGTGGGCTGGGCCAGTGGCCAGGTGATGGGGGAAAGCTGGAACAGCCTTTAGGTCCACCGTTAGAAGTGCCTGTGGGGGACGGCAGAGAAGTCAGGTGGAAGGAGCTGGGACCCCTCCTTGATGATGTTACAAAGCAGGGCTTCCGTGCCAGCTCTGAGACGGAAATATATTTCCATCTCAACTAAGCCACCATTGTTTGGGTCTCTCTGTTTTAGCAGCACAATCTGTACTTATACACCATCTGGTGGAGACTTGGGAAGGCTTTTAATGAGAAGATACAGGTAAAGCATAATACAGCTGACCCTGGACCAACACAGGAGTTAGGGGTGTTGATCCGCTGCTTGAAAATTCATGTATAACTTTTGAATCCCACCAAAACTTAATTCTAATAGCCCGCTGTCGACCAGAAGCCTTACCAATAACATAGTCCGTTAACGCATACTTTGTATGTCGTGTGTATTACCTACTGCACTCCTACGATGAAGCAAGCCCGAGAACAGACAATGCTACTCAGAAAATCCTAAGGGGGAGAAAATACACTCAGTATTTATGAAAGAAAATCCCTGCACAGGTGGCCCCTGTGCAGCCAGCAGCTGGGTTGTTCCCAGGTCCGCTGTACCTAATGGGTGTCCTGAAATGGTTATTATGAGGTTGCAATCATTTTCCTTCTTATGAATTTTCCTACAGCTTCCATCTCTCCCACCTGCCCCTTGCCCTGAGGACAGAGACCACATCCCTTGATTAGGCCTCAAGCCCTGTGTGACCCCCCCCACACCCCCCACCCCCCCCACCCCCACCACTTATCTCTCTGGTCCCATCTTTGCCCCTTCCCTTTGGCTCACTGGCACCGTTTAGGTCCCTGACCCAGCCAGGCCTGTTCCCACTCAGGACCTAGGCACACACACAGCCCTCTCCCTTGGGCAGGGGTCTGCAAACAAAGGCCTGCAGGCAAAATCCACTGGAGGCCTGCATTTAGGAGTGAAGCTTTATTAAAACAGAGCTCTGCCCTGTGGCTGCTTTCGCACTGAAATGGCAGAGTTGAGTTCAGCAGCTGCATCTGAGACGGCCCAGACTCCGAAGCCTAAACTCTCTACTCTCCAGCCCTTTGTAGAAAAAGCAGGCTTGCCCTGGCCTGGGAGCTTCTTCCCTCTCCCACCTGCCTGGCTCACTCCCTCTCACCCTTCATGCCTTGGTTTCACCTTCCTTGACCCTTTCGGTCCGAGATCCCCATTCCTGTAACTCTCCCTCATAGCGCCTGATACTTACCCTTTATTGCACGTCTCAAAACCGTAATTAAATCAGCCCCTTGAGGACTACCTTCCTTACTGTGAACTCCGTGAAGCTGGGACCACGTGTGTTTATTCGTAACACCTGGTGCCTAGTAAGCCCTCAAAACCGTATTTGTGGAATAAATGCATGAAAACATCTACTTCAATCACTGGGGAGGGAACCCAGCTGCCAAAAGCTTCGGGCGTAACTTGGCCAACCCTGCAAACGTACCTCTGCATTTCTGTCCTTCGTTCTCACCGCCAGTTCTTCCTCCAGAGCACCAATGGCTTCCTGGTTACTTCTGTTCTGTTTGGTGACATCCTGTATGAACTGAGCCTTGTCTCTAGCTTCCATGGGACTGGTGAGCAGCTTCTCAAACAGGAAGCCCCGCAGCTCGATCAGGCTGTCGATGAAGGTCTGGGCTCCCGCACTTCTGCCCAGTGTCTGCAACTGCAAGACCCCGGCAGCCTGCGGGTGACTGAGCAAGAGCCTCAGGACGCCCTTGGTGGATTCTCGGATCTGCTGCATGAGTGGCGGGAGGTGGGATTTCTGCTGCTCTAGGCGCAGGAGGCGGTCTCGGAACCGCGCTTCGTCCTCAAACTCTTCCTCCTCCTGCACCCGCCGCTCTTCATCCTGCAGGTGACCGACCCTGTCCAGGAGGACCTGGCAGAGGTCCTCGTGCTCCCTCATGGCCTTCGCGATGTCCTTTCCCAGCATGCTCTCCAAATCTTCTTTACTGGCGGTCACGTAGGACAGGAGGGTCACCAGCTGCACCTTGTAGATGGTCTCATCTAGTACGGACATGATCCTCTTGGTCTCGATCGTGGTGAGTTTGGTCTTAGAGGGGACCAGGGCTTTTAGCAGGGAGGCTGTCTTTTTGGATGGCTCTGTCATCAGCCTTATTTTGTTCATGTCAGGGCCTTGGTAGACAGGGCCCATGGAGAGGATGTCTGAAGCCATCTTATGGTCAGTGTTCTCTGTCTCCGTCCGCCCTGGAAGATCGAGACTTTGGTAAAGCAGATGGGTCTCCTGCTTGCAGTGTCCCTAGATATTCTGGAAAAGGAAGGAGTAAGCAGTGAGTAGTAGAGCTAGGCAGTCCCGGTATGGCTGGTTTGGCCATAGCAACCATAAACTTGATATTGAGGGTTCATCTAGGCACTTGGCAGGTTTATACAGCAGAACCTCTCACTGAAAGCAGTTTGGGGCTTTGTGTCAGGTCTGCAAGGGTAGGAAGGCCAAGTGTGGAGGTGGGTCTTGGGCATGTGTGTCAGGCAGGGACCCACCGGGAATGCCAACATCATTCTAAGTCTTTAAATATAGGTGATGGAGGAGTTGACAGGCCAACGGGGGTGAGGTGAAGCCCACCCACTACCCCCTGCAATTGTCAGTGGCAGGAAGCCACCTCAGGAGGAGGAGGTGGTGAGTTTCGGGATCACGGTGACCAAGGGGACGCTGGAGCCACAGCCATTTCCTGTGGCCACCGCCAGAAACACAGCCAGTGCAAAGACCGGGGAAATACTCTGGTTTCTCCCTCCTTCCCACCCTCCAACCTAACACCGGGGCCTCACATTGGTCAAAGCCAGTGAGGAACCAACTGACAAGGGGGCCTGGGCAATGCAACCCGCTGCAGAGCAGAACGGGGCGGAGACAGCAGACCGGGGGCAGAGCGAGCAGGGCGGGGCCCAGCACAGCACCCCTGCACTGCCATTTCACACGCCCCCAACTGAGGACCTGGCCTGCAACCCGGGCATGTGCCCTGACCGGAAATTGAACCAGAGGCCTTTCAGTTTGCATTCAATCCACTGAGCCACACCAGCCGGGCCTAAGTATGAATTTTAAAGCTCAGAGAGGGGTGAACAATGCCTTTGAAATACAATGTTTACATTGCATCCGGGATTGTATTCTGGAAGGTGAAATCCAAATCACGTGGACAGTTTAGTCGATAGCCTTGTATCAATGTTAAATTGATCAATGTTTAACATTGATACAATGTTAAATTGTTTCTAAATTTGGACAAACACACCATGGTTATGCAAGACATTAACAGTAGGGGGAGCCGAATGAAGGGCATACAGGCATTCTGTACTTGTGCAACTTTTCTGTAAAGCTACAACTATGACAAAATAAAAAGCCTTTTTAAAAGGCTGCTTCAGAAAGACCTATGGAGCAATCTGAAACCAGTAACTTACATGGCACGACGGCCAAGAACTATCTCTGTGGCAGCCCCACTTGGGGTCAGGTCCTTGCTGGGGGTCCTCGGGCTGCTTATCTAAAATCCCCCTAAGATCCCCCTAAGCCTGGGCTTCCTCGGCCATAAAACAGGGATCTTTAAATTCATTGGGAAATTTCTGGCCCAGAGCCTGGACGTTTGGAGTGCTCAATACATAATAACCAATATTATTAGCCCAGGGAAATTGAAACCCCAAGTCCAGGACTTCAGCAGTGATCACCCAGTCCGAGTCTCTGGGCCTTGCTGGAGACCCGGAGGTATCCAATGAATGCTCACTGCCCAGGATGGGCTGGGCTCCCAGTATAGCGTGTCTAAGACGGTCCCCACCATGTGCCTACCCATCCCTCACCCTGCTCCTTCTTTATCCTTTATCTTGATGATCAGCTAACCATCCTAGTTGCAAAAGCCAGAAACCTGAGTGCCACCCCTCACTCTTCCTTCTCCCCACATCCCCTCTGCCACGCAGCTCTATCCCCGTCAGCTCCCACTTCCTGTCCTTCCTTCTCCTCCGCCTCTCTGCCACCAAGGGCCTTGTAATCTCTCACTCAGATGATTAAAGGGCTCCTTAACTGGTCTGCTTACATCTGCTCCTGCTCCCTGCAATAAAGATCATCCCCATAGTCTTCTGCTCTGGTCTTTATTGAGCCCCTGGGGATATGAAAGCGCTGCAAGGTATGGTTCCTGGCCTCCCGGAGTTTATAACCTACTTCGGGATATAAAACCTGCTTACATGAAGGGTCACCAAGTAGAGGAGGAGGGGAATAAGTTGTAGTCACAGAACAGGTCCAGATGATGGGCCTATTCAACTCCAGAGTGGGGGACTTTATCTTACAGGAGAGTGAAGGAAAAGTAGCACAAGATAAAAAAGCTCCGTTGTGCGGATGATTTAGAGGGAGAGGCCTGGGGGCAGGCAGATAAGTTGAGCCCCTATAAACCTCCCACCTCAGGGCCTTTGTACCTCCGGTTTATTTTTCCTGAAACGCACCTCTCTCTCTCTCTTTCTTGCCAAATGCATTCCTTGTACTCAGATCTCAGTTCAAGTGCCACTTCTTCAGGAAAGACTTCCCCGGGCTTCCAGCCTTGGGTGAGTTCTCATGACATGGTCTCGTGAGGCTAAGCCCCCCATCCCAAGCTCCGCCCTTCCCTCCTGCTCGCCCACACTGTAGAGGCTGGGAGCACTTCACGCTCACCTTCTTGGCCCCTGTGCAGCGAAGGGTGGCTACAGATGAAGATCAAGCTTAACGAAAATCAAAAGAAGGAAGAATCATCAGCACTGCTCAGTGAAAGACAGTTTTGAGTGTGGGTGACCGGGAGAGAATGTTGGGGCACCAGTCACTAGGGAAATTGGCAGAGGAAGTTGGAAGGGAGGACAAAGAGTTCAGTTTAAAACCCGTGGAGTTCTAGCTACAGCAGGACAGGACGTCCTGGCCTTCCCAGAATCCATTTCCTCTTTGTCGGGTGATAGCACCCCAGTCCCCCTTTGAGAAACTTGCCCTCCTTCCCACTGCATGCAGTCTTGGTGGGGCCTGCTCTCCCCCCTGGGAATTCTGAAGAGGGACACGTCAGTGGGAAATGGTGGGTGTCCCACTGCATGCCAAAGGCGGGTGTCTGGAGAGCCCCAGAACCTCCCCCGCTGCTGTCCTTCCTGAGGCCTGGTTTGTCAGCTCTTCCATCACCATCCTGTTTAGCCAGGTCCATTTCCGGTGCTCGCAATCAAAGAACCCCAGCTGATAAACGTAGTCTAGGCAACTGACAACACAAGATGGGGGGGGGGGTGGCCCCAGGGAGGCCGTGGGGGTAGAGATATAAATGCAAGGGAGAAGGAAGTGATCTCCGGAGACACAAAAGGGATCTTCAGTTCTCCAAACCAAAGAGTAAACAGAGCCTAGGGGAGGGAATCAAAGAAACGCGTAGGTGGCCAAGAACACAGAGGAAAGGGAGCCAGATCAGGTGCAGAGGCTGCTCTGTTCCGTGGCCGGGCAGACCCGATCCCGGATCAGAAGCCTCTGGGAGCCGGGCCCTGGGTCCCGCGGGCATCTCCTTCATTCCCACCCAATTCCTGCTCTTCTTCAGTCCCGTGAGCTCCTTTCAGGCTTTTCCTGAAAATAACACTCCGTGGACAGCCGCGGAGCCCCCTCTCTGAGGATGAAGGATTTTTGCCCCCTGGCCAGCGGATGAACGTGACCAAATTGTTCAATGAATTCACTTCTCCCCGTTGCCCGCCCCCCCAAGCTCACAGGCATAAATCAAAGAATTCTTCAGGGATGGCGGCTGGAAATGCAACGTTATATGAAATGTTTCCAATTTGCTTTCAGCCAAATTACCTCTTATACTTTAAAGGGCAAACTTGTTTTCTTTGATTATGATGACGCCCATCAGCTCCTGACAGCTCATTTGGGTGAACAAGAAAACGCCCGTGGAACTCGGACTGGGGGCAAACGCGTCGGACTCTGATGACAAAAATCACCGGAAAATCTCTTTTCCCTGAATTCTAATATGATCATTTCATGTCCCCTTTAACGCCACCAACCTTAATATTTAAATCATTTCTAACTCCAGCCTCTCCTTTGAAAATTCCTGCCCCGAGAGTTGAAGCAAGATTGTTAATGGTTGGGGAACTTTAATTGGATCTTCCCTTTATTTGTCATTAATTCTGCTGATGAACTTTATAAATGGAAATATATCTTTATCATGCAAATTATGCCTCGTCTTCATTCAAGTGGGCTGGTTGGATATTTTATTACTTTCCCTCTCTGAACATTTTGAAGGAAAAAAAAGCGTTAAGGTAAATTATATTTTTCCCCCTTGGGAGAAAAAAAGAGGAAGAAAATCTAGCTTTACAAATGCAACCCGGGTGCACAGAAAAGTCTGTGGGTGTTAACCTGGAGTATGTGTGCGGATTAAGTGGGGAGGGAGCTCACTTTAAGGAAAGTCATTTTATTTTATTTTTTTAAAGATTTTATTCATTTATTTTTAGAGAGAAGGGAAGAGAGGGAGAAAGAGAGGGAGAGAAACATCAATGCAAGGCTGCCTCATGTGGCCCCCACTGGGGACCTGGCCTGCAACCCAGGCATGTGCCTGGACTGGGAATTGAACCTGCAACCCTCTGGTCCGCAGCCTGCTCTCAACCCACTGAGCTACATCAGCCAGGGCAGGAATGTCATTTTAGCATTAGCTAATTTTTGAGAACATATTATGTGCCAATCACTAAATTCTTCACATGAATTAACTCCTTTATCCCTCACAAAAGCCCTAGTGAAGGAGGAGTTTTCATTGCCTCCATTTTACAGATGAGACAATGGAGGCGGAGGGAGGTTCGATGTTTTCGTTCAGAGCTAGTGAGTGATTGAGCTGGGAGTTCAGCCCTGGCGGTCTGCCCAGGAACCACTGCTCCGGCCAGTCTCCCAGTGTTAAGACTGACTTCCGAGGTGGACTCAGTACAGTGACTCTTTACTGGTCCCTTTTCGATGAGTCCTGCCGACTAGGGGCTCAGAGAACAGATGCGTTGAAGATCCAGTTCCTACAGCAGTTGGTCTACTTAACAACTACAAAGGCGAATATTTGTATTTGTTTTGTATCTGTAAGTGCACACACACACACAACTTGATCTTTCTACTGCCACACAGGGTTCCTACCAGTGTTGTGTTCCCATGGGGACACCCAGCATCAGACACAGTTGTCACAACAGAGCCATCACCCCATCCCTTTCTCCTTGAGAAAAGCTTCTCTGAACGCGGTGAGTGAGAGCAGCTGAACGGTGGTGGGAGAAGCTTCGAGTCATCTCTCACTGATTTGTATATTTTGGGTCCATCATTCATA